CCTGCCTGGTAAGACAAGGATTGGCCATAGCTGTCACACCTCTGCGCTGTTGCCGGCTGGCAACTCCGAAGGCGGAAAGTTCTGGGCAAATTGTGGGGACTATGATTTCGTCGGGACTCGCACTCACCTGCAAAATTCGTATTTCTTGGTTACTGTGTACGGTCCAGCCATGACAGCCGTACCTTCTGTACTTTCGTCTAATAAGCGCAACCCGTTTGCTGAAAGTATCGGCCAGTGTTTGATGAATCTTACTTCGGTGTTGGACGCCCCTGTATTCGAAGGCAAGGTCAAGAAATGGTTTTCCATGAGGCAGGACGACGACGAGCTCACGAACGATCAGAAAAAGGAGAATCGAGACAAGTATATTGCTGGGGAGCTCAGCGGCTACGTGAAGGTCAGTTCGAGATCCAAGACGCTGAGCCATTACTCGTTCCCAGCCGGGGAGCAGGACTTCAGAGGCATTCGACCAGAGCAGCCGAAGACGGCGACTTCGGTTTCGCACCTGAACAAGGCGGAGAGGCATTTAGTCGTAGTTGTCGACAAATGCCAAGGTCTTCCTATCGCCGACCTTGCGGACGGGTGCTCGGACCCGTACCTGCGGATATCGTGGAACAACATGGTCGCCGTGTCACCGACGATGAAGGAGACCCTCAAGCCGGTGTTCAAGTACCGCTGCTACTTCCCAGTGCGCATGGCCGGGAAGACGCAGCGGACTGCAGACAGCGAGAGGAGGCACCGTGGCATTTTGAGGATGGAGCTCGAGAGCAAGGGGCCCGTCAAGATAGAGGTCTACGACGATGACGACACAAGTGCCGACATGCTTGGGAGCTGCTACGTCCACCTGCACGATATCCTCTCTTCGTCCACTGACCAGCGGAGCTTGATAGGAGGCGCCCGAAAGAGAGACGACGAAGCCGTGATCGAGCAGTACGGGAAGAAGAACCCCCAGTGGTATTCGCAAGAGGAGGAGGTCCGCGTGTACGACGGCTCGCGGACGCAGCTGTCGGGGACGGCGTTGCTGCGTAACGAGCAGACGCCTCTGTGCTTTTTCGAGGCCTACTTCTACCCCGACTGGCAGCACGACCTGAGGCTCGACAGGACGGAGGAGAGCAGGGAAAAGCATAAGTGGGAGCAGCTCGTGCCCACGTGGCTGGAGCGGCACGCGAAGCACCAGGAGACCTACGCGCTCGTCTTTCCGGAGGCGATCGGGGCCTGGCTGTGCAACGACGAGGCTGCGGAGCGGGCCGAGAATGTGGAGAACAAGCACTTCAGGACCTTCCCCTGCGTGGACTACCACCCGCTGACCAGCGAGACGGTGCCCCTCATGAGCTTCCTGTCGCCCATCATCATCCCCGAGGACGACGGGATGCCCGCCAACCTGCTGCACTGGATGCACTGCCTCAGCTTCGAAGCCTCGGGGCAGCACGTGCGCTCGGGCCGCATCCCGCGCCACTCGTGGCACGACCCCGAGTACGTGCTGGCCAGGCGGAAGGGCACCGTGTGGGACCACGCCGTGCTGCTCTGCTCGCTGCTGCTCGGGTGCAAGAGGAACGCCTACGTGTGCAAGGGCATGGTCAGACGCCAGAGAGGCAGCGATGGGCCCGCCCACGGGGCAACCGAGTACATCGAGCACGTGTGGGTGATGACCAGGTACCACGGCTGGGTGACTTTCTGGGAACCTACCACTGGTCAGTCTTACCACCTCCCCCGGCGATACGCCAAGCGCTCCATAACAAGGGTCGAGGAAAGGCTAGACGGCGTGTCCGAGAGGATCCAGGAGGAGTCACCGCCGGAGCTCAAGGACCTCGTCGAGGCGGGCCCCGAGGTATGCGTGGAACACACCTCGAGCGACGTCCTGGACAAGTTCCTCGAGGCCGACGAGGTCAGCCATTTGGCGAAAGAGGTCAGAAGGCCAGCAGCGAAGCAGAAAGTGAGGCGGGATGGAGTCCAGAAGGAAAAGGCTGACGCTCAAATGAAAGAGGCGGAGAGAAAAAGGCTCGGTCAGGCCATCTGGCCGAACCGTGATGTGTTGGTTGAAGACAAGTCGCTAGTGTATTGGCTACCGTATGAGTCGATCGATGTGGTTTTCAACAACGAGAATCTGTGGGCGAACCACCAGAACCACCACCCCGCATGCATTACATACGATCTTGAAGAGCCGCAGTGGGCAAAATTCATTACTGACAGTCAACTGGCCGACGATGAAGAGGAGCTCCAGGTTGAGCCAGTGGTTCACCAGGTCAAGGTAATGCCCGAAATGAAGCCCGATCAGGTGTACAATCTTGAGACCAGGCTGAAGGACGAGCTGATCCAGAATCTGATGCTCTACCGGCTGAGCAAAGGAATGGACACAGTCTTCCACGACCCGCCCGATTTGATAGACCAGATCCGGCTCTTTCTTGAGATTCATGACCTGTGGCTCCAGGTCGATCCAGACTACGTGCATTCTCAGTATCCAGAGCTGTCCGAGCTGCGTGCGCAGAGCCAGGACCGGCTTCCCGTGGGGTTGGGGGGGGGGGGCGGGGCGGGAGGGTTGGCCTTCTGAGAAGGCAGAGCTCCATGATGCTCCAGACGTGTGCTGGCCAACCGCTCGGTGGCCAGCCTCGCCTTGGCGGGCTTTGCGGGAACGCGCACGTTGGTGTCAACACAATTCCCGAGGGTCCTCGAAGCCCGAGATCCGACCCCTCGGACATTTGAGACACCTGGAGAAATCACAGCTCGAGCCCTAGACCCCATCTTGCGAGTTGGACCGAGGTGTGACGGTCCCGTGGCCAGACGCCAGACGAAAACGCACCCCCGCTCGAAAAAGGTGGGTCGCCAGGATCTCGGGGAAGGGCGTCCTCCCGGAAGGGGTCGGAGGCCTCCAGGGGGCTGGGCTCCCTCGAAGTCGGGAGGGCCTTTGGGGAGCCGCCGGCCGTCCTGGAGCGTCCCCCCCCCCCCCTTGCCCTCCACCGCCGTCCGCGCGCCCTCCGGCAGGAGGAGGACAGCAGCAGCGACGACGAGACGGCGTCACGCCCAGGCCTGAGGAAGAACGTCAGCTCGCCCAGGCCCAGCCACGCGCAGAGGGGGTATGGTTAAGTCGGGCACGTCCCTCTATAGGAGGAATATTCAAAGATGGTCAAACATAGTCGGGGGGGGGGGCGTTTTTGTCAGTTGTTTTGTTGTTGTTGTCGGTTGTTGCTGCTGCTGCTGCTGTTGTCGATGGTGTTGTTGTTGTTGTTGTTGTTGTTGGTGTTGTTGTTGTTGTTGTTGTTGCTGTTGCTGTTGTTGTTGTTGTTGTTGTTGGTGTTGTTGTTGTTGGTGTTGTTGTTGGTGTTGTTGTTGTTGGTGGTGTTGTTGTTGTTGTTGTTGTTGTTGTTGTTGTTGTTGGTGTTGGTGTTGTTGTTGTTGTTGTGGTGGTGGTGGTGGTGGTGGTGGTGGTTGTTGTTGTTGTTGTTGCTGCGGCTGTTGTTGTTGCTGCTGCTGTTGTTGCTGTGTTCTGTTTTAGTAGATTCGAATCGTTTTGCTCATGTGCTGACAATGCTTTATTTCTCTTCCAAAATTCGCTTGTAGGAGGACATGCCCGACCTAAGGATATGGGGGAGGGGGAAAGGCTTCCTAGAAGCACCCCTGCTTCTGCGCGGGCCTTGTCTATAGATCTAGGGCCGGCGCCGTCTAAGAAGCAGCCTCCTGCTAAGAAGCCTTCCCCCCTCCCCCGTACCCCCCTTATGCGCGCCGCCAGCAGGCGCGCGCAGATGTCCCGCCTCATGACGAGGGGCACGCAGATGATGCTGCGCTTCAGCGTGGAGACTGGCGCCGTCTCTGCCGAGGATGGGGCGCCGAGCCAACGAGAAGGCAACCAGCACGCACTCGGTGGAGGAAGGGGTGCAAGTGGCACACCAGATGTGAGATCGGCCTGCCGGCAGGTGCCCCCTACGGAAGCTGTTTTGCCCCCGGAGGGCCCCGGGGAGACACAGAAGCTGTGGGCGGGGCGCCCCACTAGGGGAACGAAGCATGACAGAAGCACAACAACTCGGAGGTCCGCGCGGATTTCTCGGATCGGCGCTGGACCCCCCTGGTGCGCGGAGCGCGCCAGGGTCGGGGGTGGACAAAACCCCCACCCTGACACGTCGATTAGTGAATTGTCCGTTTTCGGCTGTCGAGAGGGCGCCGCGGCCGTCATTTTCCAGGCTTGCACCCGCCAAATTTGGGCCCGAGGTCGTTTTCACTAAACCATGTTTTACTAAAGGGGGTTTTGTCCATCCCCGACAGGGGCGGCGCTGGAGGCGCCGCCAGGGCGGCCCGGCGCCGATCCGAGACATCCGCGCGGACCTCCGAGGTTGTGTGCTCTATGCCACTCTCCGCTCCCCTGCCGCCCGGGGCCCTCAGAGCTCGACGCAGGACGTGCCCCTGAAGGTTGCTGACGTGTTCCTCCTCCTCCTCCTCCTCCTCCCCTCCTCCTCCTCCTCCTCCTCCTCCTCCTCCTCCTCCTCCTCCTCCTCCTCCTCCTCCTCCCCCTCCTCCCCCTCCCCCCTCCCCCCCCCCTCCCCCTCCCCCTCCCCCCCCTCCCCCTCCTCCTCCCCCTCCCCCTCCTCGCCCCCCCCCTAGAGGTCCGGGGAGCAGCGGCATCGGCACTGTGTTGGTTTCCCCCCGCGTGCTCCTCCACGGAAGCCACGCGTGCCGAGCGTGCCGAGGGGCCCCGGCAGCCCAGCTCTCGGGTTGGCCGAGAGGCCGTGCGGGGGTCGGGGCCAGATTCGGGGCGGATGCGACGCAGGCGGCTGCGAGACGAGACGGACAGCGTTACCCAACAATTCAACATATCAGAGGGGAAATTGTAGCACAAGATGAAAGAGTGGAGCGAGGGATGAGTCGGGGGAGGGATGGTGGTGTGCATACGTGGGCGCACTCTTATGAACTCTCCGCAGGAGCAGCGCGAAGAAAAGGCCAAGCAGAGGGTCCCATACTCAGCGCGCTGGTCAGGGAAGATCCCCCCGCTGCTCTTTCCACCATCCTCCTGCTCCTCCCCATCCGTACCTGTGGCTTTGACGTGCACTTAGTCTCCTCGTCATCTTCATCCTCCTCCTGCTGCCCCGCCTCCTCCTCCTCCTTCTCCTCCTCTTTCTCTTTTCCCCTGTTTGCCTGTATTTGTGTTTTCATGTTTCTTTTTCCCTTCTATCTCCTTATGTTTCTCCATCCTCCTTCTTGCACCGGTCTTTTTTCAAACCCCTGAAGAGCCTTCTCAACCCCCCTCCGCAATGCCATCTGACAGTTTCTAGAACATCCAAGGTCCTCCACCGCCTCTTCTCCCTCTCCCCAGATGGCGACGTCCTCCTCCTCCTCCGCCTCCTCCTTCTGGAGGGCGAGAGGGAGACACCTCCCTTCCTTTCTTCTCGCCCCCGTTGAGGGTGGTAGGACAAGGCGCACTGCAGCTTGCGTGTCGCACGGTGGAGGCTGAGTTCCGTAAGCAAAGTGACGAGGTAGACATTGTGCGTCAGTCAACGCGCGTGTTCCTTTGAGGTTTCATTTGTGATGCTCATGATGCAATGTTTCTCGAAGAGCTTGGCGGCAAACTAAGGCTCACGACTTCATCAAACGAACTTTGAAGCCAAGGCACTGCAATGCGTTGGGCTCGCCTTATTTACATTGCTTCGCTCATTCCGCCGTCCCGTATTCTGCCATCGTTGGCGTTTTCGTGCGCGTTCGTGGGCCATGCGGCGCTCCTGGTCGGCGCTGCTGCGATTGTGGGTGAGAGTCCTCATGGATGCTTCTTGGCGTGTCTTCGGAGGGTTCTCGGGGGGCTCCTGTGTATCAGCTATAGGGCCCCGTGGGGGCGCCTTGGATGCCTCTTGGGACTCTCTTGGCGCCTCTTGGGGGCCTCTCGGACCCTCTTGGGGGGCTCTTGGGGGCCGCTTGGGGCAGCATGGACGCCTCTCGGGGCCGAGGGCTCGAAATGCCCGTTCGGCTTCCTTCTTCTGGGCCCCCCTCTTGGGGCCGTCCTGGGGCTCTCGCTGTCCGTCTTGGAGGCCTCCTGGGGTCGTCTTGGGGCCCTCCTGGGCAGTGGCGGGGTTCTCTTGGAGACCTGTTGGGCCGTCTTGGCGCGATCTTCGGGGCTTCTTAGGCCGCCTTCCAGCGTCGGCGGCCGAAAAGGTGATAACGCTGAAAACCTTCACAAACCAAGTGGAAATCGTTGAATTTTGCCTCTAGGGGGCTTTTTGGGAGTGGTATTGAAGGCATCTTCGGGCGTCTTGGAGGCATCTTCGGTTGAAGCCGTCTGGAGGCCATCTTGGGCATATTGGTACGACTTCGGTGACTCAGCCCTCTTATTTTAAACCGCTTTGCGGGCCTCTTGAGACGCCCTTGAGGTTCCTGAAAGCAGCCTCCAGAAGTTCTGGCATCCGTGACGGTGACCGCCCGGGATTTGCATAGGGTACTTCTCGCCCGGGGACGCCCAGGGGCAGACGCGCGCGCGAACTAGAAGCATTCGAAAGCTATGACCGGAGATTTTAGCACGCCCTTGGCCCGTTGGGCTGGCGAATTTTGAGAAACACGCTGCGACGTTCGAGCCATATGTCGAGAGACAGGCCAGATTGTTCAGCGAGGTTGAACGCAAGGTGACGAAGTTCTTGGACTTGCCTGATGGCAGTTGGAACATTAAGCGTGGCATGAAGTTCGAGGGATTCCCCATCCATTTCAGCTCACCGGATCCAGATACAATCCGCCAGTATCTCATGTCCTTGCCCGAGTACAGATCATACATTGACGACAAGGACGAGGGTATCCATTACACAATTGTATGCATGATGAAGCCTCTTCAAGGCCATCTGCTTGCGTGGGCTCACGGCTGATTGCTCCTCGCGGCTGGTCTCCTTCGTGTTTGCCACGAGCAGTTGACGTACCATGCTCACCTCTCCTTCTCGTGTCAGCGTGTGTTTGTTTTTTTGTTGTGCGTGTGTGTGTGTGTGTGTATCTCTGGGGCGCCTGCTCGACTCTCCGCCCGCCCGGGCCGCGTCGCCTGCGCGCGTGGCCGCGACGCCCCAATGTGTGTGTGTGTGTGTAGGATCGCCTGACCTGTTGCGCCTTTCTCGGTGGGGCGATCGGTGCAGGCGGCCTCTGTCCACACACAGAGTGCATAATCAAGACGTCGTTCATGCTTCCAGATTTGTCATGGCTGGCTCGCTGGGACGGCCTCGTCTGCCATCATCTCACAGTCTCGTCGCGGCATCTTGAGCATTATGGTCGGCTTTGCCCTGCCACCTGTTTGCGAGACAGTGGAAAACGGAGGAGATGGAGCTAGGAGGAGGGGTGAAATGGATGATGTGAGGCTACGTGTGAACGCGTGGCCTGCCAACTCTTGCTCTTGAGCTCCAGTCCAATACGCTCAGGGAGAACCAGAGATAGAGACAAGCAGTGCTGTTTGATCCCATGGCGATTGTGCAACTGCCTGCAGGGGGTCTATTGTCCGTGTGGCTCTACATCGGCGTCATGACGCCCGTGGATTCCGACGTTAAAGATGAAGCGTGATGGGTTGATGCTGCCACAAGGAGTGGCTGTGGGCGGATAGCATACACTGGCTTGTCTAGATTCAATACTACCTTGTCCACTACGATTTCCATTGCGTAGTTCAGGTCCCTTGGCCACCGCGTATTTTGAAACAGGGGAGGACGAGTCAACCCAACCTCCCCAAATGGCAATCACCCAGCTGCCCTGCGCAATTACGGAGCAGCCGTGCCCCGCTCGATTCCTTCATCAGGCGCGTTGACTGCAGGTCAACGGCTACATTTTTTTAATTTATCGGATTGGTTCCCCCGCTCTAAGTGTGGTCATGCTGGATCAGCTGTCTTCCATTCGGCGGCCGACCGTCCCCCGATGTCCTGGGGAGGCGCCCTTGAGGTCTCCTGGAGGCCTCAGGGACAGGGGTGGAGGAGCAAGGAGGAAACAGAGCGAGTTGGAGGAGGATGAGGAGGAGGAACGCGAAGGAGGCTCAGAAGGAGGCGGAGGACGATGAGGGTGAGGAGGCGGAACGAGAAGGAGGAAGTAGCGGCGATGGCGAAGGATGAGCGATGACATGCAAGGATGAGGAGGAGAGGATCAGGAGGGGAGGCGGCGGCGGCGGCGCTCCACAAGAGCCCACTGAGGGTCAGATCAGGGAGGACCAGGGGGGGATACCCCCACATCAAGACGCTCGGCGCCTCCTGACGCGAGGGGCACCAGCGGCAGCCCCGTGCATGCACGGGGGGCTGCCAGTGCACAGCCCGTGCCGACGAGGCTCATCACCAGACCGTGGGGAGGCGAGGCACGGGCAGACACCTGTCCCGTGTGCGGCCCAACAGCCAGCAGCAGCGACCCGGGGGGAGGAGGCGGGGGAGCGGTCGGGGCCACAGAGAAGCGCGTGCGCCCAGCATCCGCGGGCGGTCACCAGGCCCCACGGCAAGGGACAGGGGAGAGGCCGCTGGCCCGGCGGAGCGGGCAGGGTGAGAGAAGAGGGGAGGGACCAACGACAGCAGAAGGGAGCGGCCAGGACAGGCGCAAATGGCGGTGGCACGCCAAAGCACGCGCACGTCAGCGCCACAATTGTGCGGCCCCGGGGCCCTCAAAGAACTCGCAACGCGATTTTAGAAGCAGACCAGAGGAGGCAGAACGTACAAAACAAACTGCACACTCATGCATGTAACACAGCGCGTCACTGGACCGCCCCGCGGGGGCAGGACTGCAAGAGAAAAGGAGGGGGGGGAAGAGGCGCTTCGCACCGTTACTTGCCCGCATCCATCACCCTCGGACCCTCCTGAGCTCCGGATGGCCAGGTGGCCTCGGGACCGTGAAGGCCCGCGGGCGTTCATGGGCCTCGATGGCCTGCACGAGCGCTCTACCAAACGCCTGGCCGAGCACAGCAACGATGAGCCGCCCATTATTGTTGCTCAACCTTTTCCCAGTACGACAGAGGCCAACAACGTGCTGGGCCTCGCTGGACCCAGGCTGAAATTCCTCAAGATCCCTGGTGAGCGGGGCTTTCAGGGGCTCAGCACACGACTTCAAACTTGTTTTTACCGCGGCCGTCATCTGACACGTGCTGGGATGGCCTAAGCGGTGGCCCGTCTTTCCCTTGACCTTCGGAAGGTACTCTTCTGCGTGTGCTTTCGACATAGCACGGTACAGCCCACCCTCCGTCGCCAATTCAATCTGCGCCTTGCAAGCAGACTCGAGCAACCGGATCTTCTGATGCGCAATCGCTCCCAGCTTGACTGCAAGAGATGACTTCTCCTTCTCTTCCGTCGACACCACAGCCCTGTGCTTGACACGTTCCCATGTGGCACTGCCGTGGTGCCGCTCGGGCCCGCAATAAAGAACTTCTCTCCCCAGGACCCTAACACGTGAGAGGTAGCACCAGAAAACGAAGCACCGGACAGAACTCGAGCCTACAAATTCGACCATGCAACCAAACATAGCTAAATAGGCGGTAGATGTCCGAACATATGTGCCCTGGCAGCTACATGCGTGGGAAATTCCATGTCGCACAATTCACACTGATACGGGGGGTCAGCAACATGTGAGTGAACCGTCACAGACCCCCTGCTCGTTGGGCACTTCCTCTTCCGAATACTCTGTTCAAGATGCTCTGACGCATTCTTGGTAGTGTCGAAATTATCGCTCCGAATCCATGCGGTAGACACTGTGAGCACTTGGTGCAATAACAGTTGGTGCCTGGTATCGAAGCCAGCTCCGCAGCTTCTGATCTCGCACACGTGTGGAGCATGACAAGCTGGCTCGGGCACTTGAGGAGGCATGGCAGTATCCCCTTGTTGGCTTCCACCTTCTCCTCCTTCTTGTTCCGCCTGCATGCCTCCACCATCTTGCACACCCGTTTCCACTCCCTCCTGATTTTGGACCTCCGCGATCTCTTCCTCTTCCACTGGCACCTCCCCCCCCAACAGGCATCAAGAAACATTTCGGTCCTCCCTTCATCCTCTCCGTCTCCGTCTCCGTCTCCCTTCGCAAGGCCACGACGTGACCGAGGAGCGGCCGGTCGACCTTTGAAACCTCCTTGGGGGGGTATGGGAGGAAGACGACACGCGGCGAGGGAGGGGCGCCGCCCGGCGGGCACCAGGGCTCGGCGGAGACGATGAGGGAGGAGGGGGGGGGGAGATGGGGGAGGAGGAGGGGTGAGGAACCAGGACGGAGCCCGCCAGCTCGGAGGGACTGGGAAGGGGGGGCGAAACAGTGGAGGGGGGGAGTAGAGATGGGGGAGAACCCCGACGTGTCGAGGCCATCACTTGACCTGCCGAACGATACTTCCCTTACGGAGTTCTCTCCCCGAAGCCCAGCCGCAATGTGCAGCGCGTGTAGGATCAGCACTCCCCCATTGTACCCTCGAAACTCCGCCCCTCACGAGAATCGCTTGCGTGTTTTCCAATCTCTGTAAGTCCGCGTCTGCGAGCGGACACTCGATAGTTTCAGATCGTATCGCCGCCCCCACCGGTCTTGTATATTTCACATCCCTGTGTTCATCCTTCTGTGCTCACCCAACAACTTCCAAGAACAGCAACGGCTTCCTTCACTCTTCGTAAACGAAACACAATAATTATCGGGTCTGACGCCATCTTGAAAATGAAGCTGGCCTCCTGGATATCGTGCAACTCTTTCTGCAGCACCTTGCATCATGCCCCACTCCCCATATAGCCCCCTCATCCCATACTGCCTCCCCTTTCCCTTCAGCCGTACCGATGAAACCTGCTTGTCTCTATGTAATGCCACACCCTCCATGTGCAGTTCCGTATCCTGGTGCAAAAACCGGGGGTCGGCTCTAGCTCTACACTGGGCCGCGTCCGCGACAGCGTTCGTACGAGCGATCCCGTCGGATAACATCGTTACAGAAATGTCTGCAAACTCTCTCGCGATCACCTTCACATGCTGCCTGGCCTCCTGTGAAGATGTGAGACCATCTCTCATCCACTCCACCGTGACATATTCCTTTTCGTGTCCGAATCACTTATTTCATTTGTTGGTATATTGTACTCCCTTCCCACGAGCCACAACCATGCAGCTGCATCTTCTTGCAATTTTCTTGCCCAATGCGCACAACCAGCAGCTCCGCGTAGTCCAATCTATGTTCAAGCAGCGCTGCAAAACAAGTGTCCGAGTAGGTTCTGGCATACTGCTTCAGTTGAGGGTCATGCACTCTGTCGAAGGCACTTGTGGCGTCATAGAAAGTGGTGCGCCTGCCGATCTTCGAGCTGTGCAGTCCCTGAGCGCAAGTACTCTGAGCCATGACAGCTTTCTCTCCCCGTCCCCTCAGGTATCCATTTGAGTACGGTCGATTAGCATGCGCCTTGCGCTCGGGGCTCGAACCCCACAAGTACGAGCAGTATATTTTGTCTAGGGCGTCTCATGCGTGCACAGGCCGCTGTCCTCTGCACCCACTCTTGCCGTTTCGCTTGTATCCAGGGAACAAGCCTGACTCTGATGCCACTGCAGCGGTACCTTCTGGTGGTATCTTCTCGTCGTGCAGAATCATTCCAATTTAGTCGTATCTGGTGGATCCTCTTCATCAATGTTTTCGTATTGTTTTGGACCTCGCCGGTATTCGTTGGGGCACACGAGGGGCTTCCAAATACCCGCAAGGATTTCCTCCTGCCCCTACTGGAGCAGCTCAACAATCAGAGTCTTCGGCGCACGTTCCGCACGCCTCTTCTTTTCTTCTTCCTGCTTGGGTAGCCCCGCCAGGAGAACACCACGGTCGCCTGGCTGGGCCAGAAACTCGCTCTAGGTCTATGTTCTAAGCTGCTTCGGTGCGAGACTGTTTCTCGCAAGCAAACGCGAAAGCTTCCAGCACGGACCAGTGCCACCGCCACGCTTGGCAATCTCAAGCTTACTCGCATACACGGTCTCTTGGCGAATCTTATTCCTACGCACACATACGCACCTTCTTATTATGCTGCTAGCAACTATGGTCCACGCTCGCAAGACACGACTGTGGTTCTTACGCGCCTTTGAAGATTTCGAAAACACAGCAAAGCATAGCGAGCACAGCCGCCGGCAAGCAAACCTGAGGTCCGTTCTCTTCCCAGGAGGCCAGCCGCACAAGACACTCGAACAGAGGAAGGACAGGAGGTCGTTTTCTTATTCGTTGTGTTGCCGTTTGGCGCGGGCCCTCGCACACCCCTCACCCCCCCATGGAGTAGATCTTGGCAGTTTTGCGGCGCCTGTTGCAAGCAGGTGGGGTCTCCCCCAGAGGACGCACGGTTTCAAACAGCCGCGCTAAGCAAAGGTCCGGAGACAGACCCCCCCTCCCCCCCCTTCCGCCCAATGTCGAAACGCTGAAGAAGAAAACGTTAACGAAGAGGAAGAGGATCAATCGGGACGGACTTGAGTTCCAACAGGGCGGTCCTACTGGCAATGCGGTCGTCCAAAGCTTTCGGCATGTCGGGCAGTCTGCCCCGCCTCTTGGGTCTCGTCGGAACTGGTCCGTCGAGACTTCATCTGTTACGATGTGTAGCTTGTCGTAGCAAGCCTATCAGCCCCCTGGC